ATGTCATAAGACAATCAATAATGACCCTGAAACAAGGGTAACCTCTGTAAGCTGCCAGCCAACAGTGGATGGAGTCCTCTGTCCAAAGTGGGTGATGTCCACACCTGAACAAATCAAAGGGGTGGGCATGAGGTCTCACCAAAGGGCTCAAATGGCTGGCGAATACTCCAGGAAAAGCAAGAGACTACAGCAATCTGTTCTCCCTGCTTTCTAAAAAAAATTGAGATATAATTAACATATAACATTTATTAGTTTCAGATGTATAACATAATGATTCAGTATTGGTTTATATTGCAAAATGATCACCACAATAGGTCTACTTCACGTTTTCCTCATAGTTACATAAGTTTTTTTGTGTTGAGAACTTCTATGATTTACTCTTAGCAAGTTTTAAACACCCAATACAGTATTACTAACTATAGTGACCATACTCCCTGCCAGCTAATACCAGGAGAGTGGCTTCTATAATACACATGGGCAGTGACAGAACTCCAGTGACGGCCCCAGGCAGGTCTGAAAGTGCAACAGAGTTCACCAGTTTCCCACAAACCTGGCCCTTACCGTGAATCTCCCTAGTGAGGATGTCTGGATGTACGAGATGCAGTTTCTGGGGGATATCTCCCTCACAGGGGCTAATCTCCAGAGCTTACATCTGTTATTATGTTAAAAAGCCAAGAGCACAGTGGCTGCACGTGTAACATCTTTCTCCAGTGTGAGCTTCCTGGTGCTGAATGGAGACAGACTAGTGGCTGAAGACTGTCCAACATCTGCCGTACTCCTAATACCCTGCTGGGTGTGGAGTTGTTCTGTAAGATCAAAAGGTTCTTGATGGTGGAACACACAGAACAATGACACTGGGATACATGAAAGACAGAACTGTTTGTTACTTACAGCTCAGAATGAAAGACGTTAGACAGGGCAACAAAGAGGGCTGAGACCAGGGACAGGATTAACAGAAAGCTGGAGCTGTGGTGGGCAGTTTATATTTGGCAAGAGTGATGGTATTAGCTAGGTTTCATGAGCTGTCTGTGGATTGGCTATTTTGAATAATTGTATGGGTTCCAGAACATAGGAGCTATCACTAAATGTCTGACACCTTGGTGTCTGGTAGTCCAGAGAATGAGAGCCTGATAAGGAAAGTGGTTGGGGTTGTGGGCTTCATCAGCTGTTCTAGAAGGGGAACGGACAGTCCTTCTCCTGCCAGGGCTTCAAAACTGAGTCAAACCACTTTCAAAAACTTAAAAAGTATATATCAAAATGCTGTGTTATTGACATACACAAACATATAGGAGAATGGAATAAAAGAGCACAGAAACAAACCTTCGCATACATACTCAGATGTTTTTAAAGGGTGCAGAGACCATTCAAAGAGAAATGAGTTTTTGCAGCAGGTGGTGTTGAAAAAACTAGATAATCATACATAAAAGAATGAAGTTGCACATGCACCTTACATGATATAGCTGTATCGGTGTAAAATGGTACAGCTACTATGGAAAATAGCCCCTTAGTTCCTCAAGAAATTTACATATTGAAATAATGATCCAACAATTCTCCATCTGGAAACACACCTAAAAAGGACAGAAACCAGGGCCTCAAAGAAATATTTGTGCAATCGTGCTTACAACAGCATTATATGCAATAGCCAAATAGTGAAAGCAACCCAAGAGCCCACTGATGAAGGGATACAGAAAAAGTAGCATATACATAAAATGGAGCACTACTCACTCAAAAAAGACGGAAATTCTGACACATGCTAGGACGCAGATGAAACTTGAGGACATTGTCTTCAGTGAAATAAGCCAGCCACAAGAGGAGAAAAACTTTATGATTCTTATATAAGGTACCCAGAGTGGACAAATTCATAGACAGAAAGTAGAATAGTTGTTGTCAGGGGATAAGAGAGCGGGGATGAGGAGTTGTTATCTAATGGGTTTACTTTCAGTTTTATAAGATGAAAAGACTTCTGAATATTTGTCTGCACATAAGGTGAATGTATTATTACCGATAAACTTACAGTTAAATATGGTTAAGACTGTAAATGCTATGTTACAAGCATTGTACCACAATTTAAAAAAATTTTAAACACCTGCATAGCAGTACTTCCCAGCACTAAATCAGACCAGATTTTCCCACATTCACTGCATTTATATGGCTTTTCTCCCATGTGAACGCTCTGATGAAAAACGAGCGTAAAGTGGTCTTTTAACGTGCTTCCCACACTGGCTGCACTCATAAGGCATTGGCCTAGTGTGAGCTCTCTGGTGTTCAATGAGGCCAGATCTTCGTGTAAAGAACCCTCCACATCCAAGGTGCTCATATAGCGTCGTTTCAGTGTGGATTTTCTGGTGCTGAACCACATGGAACGGTCTGATTAAAGTCTTCCCACTTTCGCTGCAATGGTTTTTCTGGTGCTCAACAAGTATGTGTTCATGGCTAAAGGTTTTCCCACATTCACTGCACTTGTAATCATTCTATCCACTTTCAAAGGTCTCCCTGCCCTCCATGTCGCTGTGTGTCTTCCCTCGTGTGAGGGGCCTGGTTCTGGAGAAGGCCTGAACTGGCCGGAAAGTCCTTCCCTCCCGTTCAGCACGTCAAGGTCCTTTCTGCCACGTGAAAGCTGCAGTTCTTCACCAATGAAGTCCTCCCTTCATCCCATCTGGGGAGTTTCTTCCTACTCGGCTCCTTTTGGTGCTGGGAAAGACTCACCACACACGGGTACACCTCTTGCTTGTGCTGTGTCCCATCATACTCAACCAGGCACAAAATGTCTTTCAAGAGTGGACCACACATCACATTAAGAATGAGACTTCTGGGACTTCCCTGGGGGCGCAGTGGTTAAGAATCTGCCTGCCAATGCAGGGGACATGGGTTCGAGCCCTGGTCCGGGAAGATCCCACATGTCGCGGAGCCACTAAGCCTATGCCACGACTGCTGAGCAGGCACTCTAGAACCCGTGAGCCACAACTACTGAGCCCTGATGCCACAACTAATGAAGCCCATGTGCCTAGAGCCAGTGCTCCACAACAAGAGAAGCCACCACAATGAAGAGTAGCCCCTGAGTGCTGCAACTAGAGACAGCCTGTGCGCAGCAACGAATACCCAATGCAGCCAAAAATAAAAAGATAAATAAATTAATTTTAAAAAAAAAGAAAAGAATGAGACTTCTGGATAGATGGACCTGGCTTTGGAGTCTTGACCTGTGACTCTATAACTGCATCACCTTGCTCTGAAAGCACCTCCTCATCCTGGGCTCCATGTTGAAAACCTGGAAGGAGAGACATGCCAATAAACGTGGCCCCAGCAGAAATGTGTCTCAGACACACCCAGCAGTAAGTCCTTAAGATTGCTGAGATGCATGGGACCAGAGCCTGTGTGAGGAAGGCCTGCTGTGCAGAGCTGAGCTTGGGAAGCTCATCTGATCGCAGAGCACAGACGATGGGTAAGAACACGAGGAAGGGTCTTCAACTTACCTTTCAACAAAGCCTGGCTACTTGTGACTGGTGAGCAATGAGTAGAAGGCTGTGTCCAGACCCAGAATGTCTGAATGCATCACAGCAGTTGGGCTACAAGGAGTATTTAAGGACACATGCACATATCCCAACACTTTAAGTGCAGGTCAATGTTGACAGCACTGCAAAGGGAGCAGTGGAAGGGAATGGGTGAGAACCAGGGCCAGAAGTGAAGAGTCAAAGCATCAACAGCGGGCTTCCCTGATGGCGCAGTTGTTGAGAACCCGCCTGTCAATGCAGGGGACCTGGGTTTGATCCCTGGTCCGGGAAGATCCCACATGCCACGGAGCAACTAAGCCCGTGCGCCATAACTACTAAGCCTGTGCTCTAGAGCCCGCATGCCACAACTACTGAAGCCCGCACGCCTAGAGCCCATGCTCTACAATGAGAAGCCACCACAATGAGAAGCCAGCGCACTGCAACGAAGAGTAGCCCCCACTCGCTGCCAACTAGAGAAAGCCCGCACGCAGCGACGAAGACCCAACACAGCCAAAAATAAATAAACTAAAATAAACTTATAAAACAAAACAAAACAAAAAACATCAACAAGAAAGTAAAGGTAGAAACTCTTGAAATCTGTCGCTGGTACCACACACTGGTGGATATAGGACACAGGCCTGGTGTGATGGGAAGCCAGCTCTGATACCTCACCATTTCCTCACCCCCACACAGGTAGGCCACATTCCTTTCAGCCTCCCTTGATGCTGCAGGAAAAACATCCACCCTGTCAGGCACCCAGGGCCCTCCTATTGCTCAAGGTGAGAAACCACCTGGGCCTGAGGAGACCAGTCAAAGAGGAAAGACAGGGAAAGGGAGTGGGCCCCGTCCCATGAGATCACACATTCTAAAATTATAAGGACATTAAAGGAAGGTCTTAAAGGAAACAAGCCAGTGGTCCCCTCAAGTAGTGACCAGGTCAGTATGTGAACATCCTGGCATAAGCAGGCCCCAGAGTCTGTCAGCAAAGGACAGTGGAAGGCCTGGGACACCAAGGTTCCATGCCTCTGGACAGAGTCACCCAACCACGGACAGGGAAGGGTGGTGGGATCTTTCACACAAACATCAAGATTTCTGACTCCTGAGCCCTGTCTTATAAGACCTCAGAGCAGCAAGGATGGGACTGCTGGGAGAGAAGGAATACAGTGCACAGAGCCCAGCGCTGGCACCAACGACACACATGCCAGGAAACCAGGAAAGGAAGCAGTGCCCATGGTCTCACTGTGGGAAGCTCCGAGGTTTCACTTGGCTTGATCTGACTCTGGTTTGCTAACAGCCTCATATTAACAGCTTGAAACTGCCCAGGGTTGGAGCATTTATACCAGGGAAATTGGCAAATGCAAGAATCAAGGGTTGGCTGGGGTTTTTTTCTTTTTACTAACTGTCTAGACTTAAAGTAATGGAAACTATGCTAATAATTAGGACTACACATGGTGAGTAATGTTGTAAATAGCAGAAACATTTATTCCACCCAGCAAAGTCACTGAAGAAAAGTCAAGTTCCAACACATTTATTGTCTTCTTATGTACTAAAAAGAAGACATACATCTGACAAAAGAACATAAAAATGTTCAACATCATGAATCACTAGGGAAATACAATCAGACCACAGTGAGATACATCTCCACACTTTTAAAACAGATAATATTAAAAATACAGGCCATACCTACCTAGTTCTGGTAAGGAATACAGGGGAACTGGAATGCTCCCATACTGCCGATGGGAATGCAAATGGGTACAGCCATTCACTTTAGACTAAGAATCCCTATGTTCATATAAAGAATTTTATGTACACGTTCATAGTAAGCTTATCTGTGATAGCCAAACTGGAAACAAACCACAAAACCTCATCCTTTAACAGAGAGATGGATAAACAGTCAAATGTTGGTATATTTAAACAATACATTTTTCAGATATTAAAAAAATGGTCTCTTCATGTAGACAAATTAGATGATTCTCAATATAATTATGCATCGTGAAAGAAGAAAACAAATACAAAAGTAAACATTAAGATCACAGTGATATTAAAAGTCTAGAAAACACTACCTAATTGAATGGGAAAAAAGTAAATCAAAGGACTTCCCTGGCAGGCCAGGTATTGGAAATCTGTGCTTTCACTGCCACAGCCAAGGTATAATCCCTGGTTGGGGAACTAAGATCACATAAGCTGTGCAGCATAGCTGGGGGGAAAAAAAAAGTAAATCAATACTAGCTACCTGAGAGTCCTGGGAGAGATGTCAGAAGTTGATATGGGAATGATGGATGTTTGTTATTATGATGATGATTCCATGGCTTTAGAAGTATTAAAATTTACCAAGCTGTACATTTTAGGTATGTTCATTTCAATGCATACAAACTATACAGCTCAATTAAATTGTAATAGGAATTGGTTTCACATAAAAATCTGAACTTCTTTTCTGAATCTCTTTTCAGTAAAACTGTGGCAACCACAGCTCAATTCCATCACCTCTCCTACTCTCATGAGGGGATTCTGTCACAGCAGCAATGAAGACTGGTGAGCAATAAAACGTGTTTCCACTTAAGTTATCCAGGAACTCTGCCTGGGTCCTAAAATTCACATGCCTGAACTACATGATTTCCACTCTCATTCCCCATTGTCTTCACTGTGCAACAGTGGACTTCAGATAAAAAATTGGCAGATGCTATAGAAATCCTAAAACCTTTACGTTATTCAGTCTGACACAGACTGGGGGCTCAGGGGGAGAGAAGTAGCTCTGTACCTCCTGAGAATTTCTGCAAAAACCTTATCCTAAACAGCCAGTCATGGGAACATTCGTGGATGCAGCTTTAGAAAAGGCTCATCCCTTCTTGTTGCTAGTCTCTCACATCCTATTAATTCCCAGAGTGTTTCTGTACCAAATATGGTTCCCTCCTGATATCTGTAATCTAACACTCATGAACACCAGCCTACCACATTGCGTACATCATAGCACACGTGGACATTATGGCACACGGCTCTTTTCCAGCTGGACCTAGAGAACTTTTCTCTTGAACGGTACTGGGGTCATGATGTGACATCCCATGTGAAAAAAGAGAACTTATGCAGCTCCAAAAAACACTGGTGGTTCATACAACTGTCCTCATCTCAGGGTGACCTCGGGACCCACCAAAAATTCTAACATCCAGGTCACAACATTAGTCCCACAGAGCCCTGCAGTCTACCCCAGGAAACCTTCAACAACAATTCAAATTAGTGAAAACTATTCTCCATGATACTATCCCCAGTGAGGTATACAAACTTTGGAACACCCACAAAACCTACTCCTCTTCATCCTGAGAGTCCAATTTGCTTCTCAACATCAGTCTAAAAGTAGACAAACCCCAAGATGAAAGGTGGCTTAAATAATAGTTTTTATTATGGCATAGAGCAGAAAAACTGAGGCAGATAATTCCCAAACAGGGTGACTTGGACCTGAATAAAATCCACCATTAGCATGGTATTAGACAATGCCACCAAAGAAGGCAAACCACTGTGAGCCACCAGGAGAAACTGGACTGGATCCCCATGATCAAAGCTGCTTTGGTCCTGTCATAGGCAGTTGACAGGAACTAAGAGAATGACAAAACCCAAGTGCTCAGGGTATCCATGCTTTTCTACAAGGGATAGGAGAGCACAAAAGCCAACCTACCCTGATCACACTGAGGTGACTGATTCCAGTATTGGGATCTGCCACTTAGTAGAGATAAGAAACTCACAGTGACATTAAGTATGGCAAGGGCCCTGCACAGGTCAGAAGTAGAGCACAGCTCCTTAAAAGCTTCCTATGAACCTGGAACTTATAGGCAATCTGCACACTAGGGCTGTTCAGATGTATGGCATTCAACTTCCAGATGATGAGTCCCTCACAGAGCCTATTCAGTATGATGTATTAACTAAGGAGACAGCTCATTCACTGCTCTCCTCATCTCATTTGAAGGCCTTTCTCCAGTAAGAACTTTCTGATGATGAATGAGGTTAGACCTTCAGCTGAAAGCTTTCTCACGTTCACTGTGCTCACAGGATCCATCTGGGCTGTTAAGTTTCTGGTGCTCAGTCAGAGCAGACTCTGACAGAAAAATTTTCCACTTTTGCTGTACTGGCAATGCCTTTCTGTAGCATGAGCTTTTCAGTGTTGAGTAAGCTGGGAGTTTTGGCTGAAGAATCCTCCACATACAGTGCACTCATATAGTTTTTCTCCAGTGTGAACTCTGGTGCTTAATCACAGTGGAGTATTGACTAAAATGTTTCCCATATTCAATGCACTTATAAGGCATTTCCCCAGTGTAAACTCTCTTGTGTAAAACGAGAGCAGTTTGGCTAAATCACTTCCCACACTCACTGCCCTCAGAAGTCTTTGCGCCAGTGTGAATTCTCTGGTGTACAATAAGGTTGGAGATTTGGCTAAAGAACTTCCCCTTTCACTGTGCTCATAAGGCCTTTCTCCAATATGAATTCACTGGTGCCAAACAAGTGTGAGTGGGTCGCTATTTAAAAGGTTTCCCATGGGCTTCAACCAAAGACGCCTCAACTAAAGATCCTGCATGCCGCAACAAAGATCAAAGATCCAGGGTGCTGCAACTAAGACCCAGCACAGCTAAATCAATCAACCAATCAATAAATATTTTTTAAAAAATAGTTTTCCCACATTCACTACACTTATAAGGCTATTTTCCACTGTGGACTCTCTGGTGCTTAACAAGTGAGTCTTTGCGGCTAAAGGCTTTTCCACATTCACTGCACTCATAAGGCCTTTCTCCAGTGTGGACTCTCCAGTGCCGAACAAGACTGTCTTTATAAATGAAGGTTTTTCCACATTCACTGCATTCATAAGGCCTTTCTCCAGTGTGGACTCTCTGGTGACGACAAAGGTTTACTTTAGAAATAAAGGTTTTCCCACATTCACAGCACTTATAAAGCAGTTCTCCAACATGGAGTCTCTGGTGCTCAACAAATGACTTTTTGTGTCTGAAGGCTTTCCCACATTCACTGCACTTATAAGGCCATTCTCCAGTGTGGACTCTCTGGTGAACAAGTGACTTTTTGTGTCTGAAGGCTTTTCCACATTCACTGCACTTATAAGGCCATTCTCCAGTGTGGACTCTCTGGTGCTTAACAAGTGAATTTTTGTGTTTGTAGGCTTTCCCACATTCACTGCACTTATAAGGCCATTCTCTGGTGTGGACTCTCTGGTGCTGAACGAGCGAGCTTTTCCAGCTGAAGTCTTTCCCACACTCACAGCACTCATAAGGCCTTTCTCTAGTGTGGATTCTCTGGTGCTTAACAAGTATCCCTTTAAAGCTGAAGGTTTTCCCACATTCACTGCATTCGTAAGGCCTCTTTCCAGTGTGGACACTCAGGTGATGAGCCAGTTTGTGTTTGCAGCTGAAGGCTTTCTCACATACATAGTATTTATAGAGGCTATGTCCATTGTGAAAGGCCTCTGCACACTTGGCGTCCTTTTGTGGAGTGACCTGGTGCTGGAGAAGGCTAGAGCTACCAGGGAAATCCTTCCCAGCCTCCTGGCATGTGAAAGAGTTCTTGGATGCATGGACTATGTTGCTCCTCATAAAGGTCTTACCCATGTCTCTTCTAAAGGGTTTCCCTCCACTGTGCTGGTGAAATTTCACACCTGACACACACAGTTTCTGGACAGGAATTGTTCCCAGGTCTTCAGCTACACACAAACTACTGTCTAAGGCCAGGCAGCACCTCTCCCAGGGATAGGACTTCCAGATGGACAGGTCTGTCTTTGAAGTATTTATTTGTGGCACTTCTACAGAAACATTCTGCTCAGAAGTTATCTCCTTGTGCTCTGCTCCATGCCAACAACCTGAAAGCACAGACATATGGATGAACTGCATGTAGATTTTGGAAGAAGGAGGCGGCCCCATCACAAATATGTGTGTGATGTACCAAGAAATAAATCCATGGGACTATTTTCTGGACAAGGGATCTGGCAGCATGTTAAGGAAAGGGCCTCTGTGCAGCACTGTGCCTCTCCATGTCACAGAACAGGGAGGACTAACCAGGCAAAAGACACAAGGGTGGTGGGAGCTCATGGAGGAGCCACGGGTCCACAACTCACTCTTCCAGAAACAGTTTTGACAGGCCTTGGTTGCTGGTGACATTTGTGTGCTGTGTGGAAAGCTGTATCCTGGACCAGGAAAATCCGACTGTCACTGAGTAGCTGGTATAAAAGGAGTATTTTATAAATAGGTGCAGACCTCATGACACATTAAGTGTAGGCCAATATTGGAGAGCACAGCAGAGTGAGGATGGAGAGGTCCAATAAAGAATGGAAGACAGAGAGGTGAGGGGTAATCCTGGGTTGAAAGTCAGAGTAGAAATGAAAGAAGGAGCAAAGTATCATGAATGGGTAGGAAAGATAAGATATGAGAAAAACAGTCACTGTCCTTGGCACCAAAACAGTGTTCAGCACAGGACATGTGCCTGATATGATCTGAACCCAGCCATGGTATTACTTCCCCCCCCTGATGCCAATCACCAGGGCCAGGCCCACTTTGAGCCCCCCTAGCTGGGGGTGGAGTCATGTCCACTCTGTCACGTACCCAGGGTTCTCCTCCCAGCTCCAGTTGGAGAACAACATGGAACCTAGAAGTTGCAATTTCTGAGGGAAAGATAGCACAGGTGAGTGGTCAGTACTGGCCAGGGGAACAACCAATTCCCCCAAAAAAAACCTCAGGAAAGAAAAATAGTGTCACAAAAATACTCGTTGAGGAGAGTATCATAGAAACAGCCTAGTGGACCCCACAAATAGTGACCATGTTGGTTCACAACAATGCCTGGTACACTCAGTGCCCAGGAAATGTCACCTAAAAGAGGACAGAAGCTGGAGCACAGAGATGGCATGAGCCTATAGAGTCAACGTACCTGGGAGTGGCTGAGAATTATGGAACCCACTGAATAAATTCCAAGTTTTTGAAGCAGAAAATCTTCACTGAACAAACCTCAGAGCAGGTGGTATTGGGGCTCCTTGTGAAAGGAGGCAGTCTACACACTCACCCAGCCTTGGCACTTACAGCACAGATGACAAGGAAGCATTAATAGAGATGTGCCCACTGTCTAGCTGTGAAAAGAGCAGACTTCCCCTTGGAAAAAGAAAGAAAGGCAGGGAGTAGCTCAGGATTCTGGGATAGGTGTGAGGGTCTTACCCAATGACGCAACAAGTACAAAGGTCTCCAGCAACACATCGCGGTACAGGAGTCTCTGGGCCTCATCAAGAAGCTTCCATTCCTCCTGGGAAAAGTACACAGCCACGTCCTCAAAGGTCACAGGGCCCTGTGATGATGGGACAGATTTGTACATAAGCAGCCTCTCTCCCCAGGACCCCATAAGTACTTTTAACCCCAGCCTGTACTCACTCTGGGTTCACCATCCACCCCAGCTCTGTGACTTAGAGGGCAGTGGGGCCCAATAACTCTTCATGCTTCCTTGATCAGTATGTACAACCCTGAGCAACAACAGGCAGGTGGACAGATAGATACCATGTAATCTGTGAGCCTGGTATGCAGGGCCCTTTCCCTTTCCTCCAAGACAACAGCCTGAGTGTACCCACTATCATGTCTCCCAGACACAAGCAAACTTAGCCCCATCCTTCTCTCTTATACTCCTAGTACTAGGGCCTGGGGCAATTACTTCATACACCTTCCCCACATGCATATTACTCAGTGGACCTCCTCATACATCTGATCCCCATCACCACCACCCGGCCCACAAAATTGGCATGTCTCCTGCCTCCTCACATACCCTTCTGCACATGGCATCAGAAAGTGCCTGCCAATGCAACAGGATTCCACTGTACCCCAACTCTCCACTGCCGGTTCCCCAGCCCTCTTCTGAAGGCTTTTCCACTAGGCCTCGTTCCTGACTTCTACCTCAGTCACAACATGCAGATCTAAATACGCCTGGTCAGGTTCATTTCCATATAGCACATTATGTCTCTTCACCAGTTACAATCTTTGCCCATATAACACCCATTCAAAATCCACACCCACTTGACACACCTTAGGTAAACTCATCTGACGTTGTGACAAACTCCCCAAGTTCTACCACAAAATCCTGGTGAGTGCATAGGAAAAGAAATAAGCACCAGCCGGACTTTGCTATTACTCCACCTCCATTTCTGCCTTACCTCTGCATCAGTTTCATGGCCAATCTCCCATAAAAACCTGGGCCACCTGCTAGACTTTCCCTACCCCCACCTTCCCGCTGATGACCACTCCTGTTGTCTGTCTTTGTGACAGCCTGCCTCTCTTCCCTTGTTGCCTAATGGCATCCTGAAGCCTTCCCCAGCACTCTAGCACTGAATGTTCAGCTGTCCACTTTTCTCCTATATTTGGGGGTCACTGGAACATCTGAGACTCAACATGGCTGAAACCCAGTTCACCTGGTGCTTTCACTGCCATGGGCAAGGGTATGATTACTGGTCAGGGAACTAAGATCCCTGCAAGCCGCATGGTACAGCCAAAAAAAGAGGGAGAGAGAGGGAGCAACAAGAAGGAAATGGCACCAGAAAATTAATTTGTGATAAAGAGGTTGTGGCTAGAATCAGAGTAGTTTGAGATAACTGGACATCATTGATAACTCTTTAAACTTAAGACAAAGGAAACAATCTACAGGACCTGACCTTTACTGCACCCTCATTATATAAACATGGGTTCTTGGGTTCTAAACATCCTGATAGGGATTCCCAGCATTATAACTTTTTAACCTTACCATGATTCATTTTATTCCCCTTCAAAAAAGGATTTTAACAAGATGTCTTAATCATTTTCTCTTCCAATACCACCAGAGAACGATGATGTACCAGTAAAATAAATACTATTAGAAGAGTAATAGTATTACTATCACTGAAAAAGCAAAAGCCCTCTAAGTGCCTGTATACTGTAAAACTGTTAAGTTTACCTAATGCATAATGAGTGTGTATGAAAATACAACTATGGGATAGATTAAGACTAAGTATAATCATCTCATTCAAAGAACTAAGTTAAGATTAGTAACTTGAAGCTAAAAAAGATCAAAACGTGGGAATGTTCATTTAAATATAATAGTAACTTTAATATACACGCTAGACAAGTGCATTCTTTATATATCCCAGAACACATAGCAGATATGACTGCAGTACGAAGTTTATAAATACGAAAGTAGACCAAACAAAAAAGCAAACCAAAAACCATAAACAAAGAAAAGCCTTTAAGAAGAGGATCTATAAAAACATTTTAATCATATAGTAATATCTATAAAATACTTCATAGAAAGAAAAATGAATGGATACTCACGAAAAACATGGGTAAAATAACACCATATTGTGAAAATGAAGAAAAACACAGAATTCTTACATGATTCAATTCATAAAAAATTTTAAAACAAGCGAGCAAAACTAGAATCATCAAATATTTCCCACATGGTTGGCAAAACTATCAAGAAAAGAAAGAAAATGCTTATTTGAAACATCAGCCAGTACATTCATTTTGGGGGGATGCAGATAATTGTTTTGGAAGAACCCCGCAGGCGGCTTCTGGGGGTCCTATTTATATCACATTTTTTGACCTGAGTGGTGAACGGATATTAGTTTTAGAGCTTACTGAACTGCACATTGAAGTTCTCTGCAATTTTCTTTTTCCACGCAGGTCATATTTGAAAATCCGGAAAACCAAGGTTTTGGGGAATAAAAATAACTATAGAACACTGGTAAGAGAACACAGATAAAATAAAACACTGCTGAATGAGAAGAGTTGGGTGAGGGCCCGGATGACGCAGCATTTACCTGAATCCGACACATCTGGGCTGTCGCCGTCGCTAGAGTTTGTGGGCGAAGGTGGGGCCCGAGCACGGACGCCCCTCCCGGCCCCGAGAGAGAGTCAGGCCAAAGAGCAACCACGCCGAGCCTCAGACTAAGCTCAGAGCAGCGGGCACAGCGCCTTCCTGACTCCCTGACCTCGGGCCGGCCCTGCGTTGCTAAGTTCCCCACCTTTGAACACATCCGAGTTTACAAAATGACGACCACGGCAGACGCCGGAAAAGCCGCCCAGACGCAGTCCTCTAGCTCGGAAGTGCCTCTTTACTGAGCCTTTATTGGTCCAGGGGCGCCGAGGAACGGGGGCAGAGCCTTCAGGGTAATGTAGTTCACAGGCCTCCAGGACCTGGCGAGGGGCGGTGCTCCCCTCCTCCAGGAAAGGTGCCGCCTCTCCGCCAGGGTTGCTGGGAGTGAGGCTCTGAGGAAGGGGGCGAGGTTTCACGCTTCTTAAAAGGGACGCACCAGATTTTCATGTAGTCTTTGATGATCACAGAGAGGTACACGGACATAATATATGAGTTGTTCCCCAAACCTACAAAACCAAATGGGCAGATGATACCAGGTTGTCACTCAGACACAAAGTGCATCCATCCATAGCGGGGGTCTAATTAACACTGTATTATTGCTCTTCCAATGGATGTAGGCTAAAGCTTTAGACTCAATTTATGAGTTTCACTGTGTTAGGTCAGGGTCCAGACAGGGCCATGGTGGACAACACAAAGGAGGAATGTGGGGCGGCCAGAAGCAGGGGGACAATTTGTTGCTTCTCTGGCTCCCTCAGAAAAGAGTAGAGCCTGTGACGTTGTCCACTTATGGACACCACTTCTAAACATGCATCGTGAAGAAGCATGTAATGAAACACACCTGTACACACCAATTACCTCGCCTTTTCTCTAACTCTGATTGGCCTTTCCCCACACTTAAGACCACCCTGCCTCTTTATCCCCTAAATATCACAGGCACCTTGCCACTGGGAGGGTGGATCTGAGAATTGTTCTTCTGTGTCCTCACTTGCCTCACTTGTGAATGAAATACTCCCCAGCAAACCTTGGCATCTCAGCGTTTGGCTTGCTGTGCCTCCGGTTCCGTAATAACCTCATACACACAGCTTGAAATTGCCCAGTTGGAGTATTCATACCAGGGAAATTGGCAAACACAACAATGAAGGGTCGGTTGGCTTTTTTATTAAGTGTCTAGGCTTAAAGTAATAGAAGTATCTTAATAATGAGTATACGTAGTAATAATGTTGAGTAAAAATACCTATTCCACCCAGCAAAGTCACTGAAGAAAAGTCAAATTCCAACACATTTATTAACTTCTCAGTTACTAATAAGAAAACAGACATTTTGTCAAAGAAGATATACACTTGGCAAATGAACACAAAAATGTTCAACATCATGAATCATTAGGGAAATGCAATCACACCACAGTGAGATATGTCTCCATGCTTTTAAAACAGGAAATATTCAAACTACTGACCATACCAACCAAGTACTGGTGAGGAACACAGGGGAACTGGAATGTTCCCATACTGTCAATGGGAATGCATTTGGGTACAGTCATTCATTTTAGAATGAAACCATGTGCTCATATAAAGGATTTTATGTACGTTAATAGTAAGCTTATCTGAAAGACAAACTGGAAACCACAAAACGCCATCCTTTAACAGATCAATACCAGTGAAGTAATGGTATATCCAAACAGTATATTATCATGAAAAAAATGAATTATTCACATCGGCAACTTAGATGATTCTCAAAGTAACTATGCATGGAGATAAAAAAAGACAAACACAAAAGTAAACATTAAGGCTCCAATAATATTAAAAGTCTAGAAAACACTAATTGAAATGAGAGAAAAGTCAGTCAATAGTAGTTGCCTGAAAGTCCTGAGAGAGATGTCAGAAAGTAGATATGGCAGTGACAGATGTTTGTTATAATGATGGTTCCGTGGCTTTACAAGTACTAAAACTTACCAAGCTGTGCATTTTAGGTATGTTCTGTTCAGTGCATACCAACTATACAGCTAATTAAATTTCAATAGAAATTGGCTTCAAATAAAAATCTTAATCTCTTTGCTGAATCTCCTTTTCAGTAGAACTCTGGCAACCTCACATTAACCCCATCACATCCCCTTGCCCATGGGAGGGAATCTGTAGCAGTAGCAAAGAAGACTGGTGAGCAGTGAAAGTTCTTTCCACTTAAGTTATCCAGGAACTCTGCCTGGGTACTAAAATTCACATGCCTGGACTACACAATTTCCACTCTCATTCCTCATTGTTTTCACTGTGCAGCAATGGCCTTGAGATAAATAGTTTGCAGATGCTGATTCTTAAAACCTTTACATTATTCAATCTGACACTGACTGGGGGCTCAGGAGGAGAGGAACAGCTCTGGAACTCCTGAGAATGTCTTCAAACACTTTATCCTAAAGCGACACAGTCACTGGAATATTTGTGGATGAAACTTTAGAAAAGGCTCATCCCTTCTTGTTTGCTTGTCTCTCACTCCCTATTAATTCCATGAGTGTTTCTGTATGAAATATGGTTCCCACCTGATGCCTGTAATCTAACACTCAGGAACAGCAGCCTATCACTTTGGGCACATTATGGCACATGGCTCTTTTCCAGCTGGACCTAGAGAGCTTCTTCTCTTGAACAGTACTGGGGGCATGATGTGACATCCCATGTGAAAAAGAGAACCATTTATGTTGCTCCAAAAATCACTGGTGGTTCTCACAACTGTCCTCATCTCAGGTGACCTCAGGACCCACCAAAAATTCTGACATCCAGAATTCAACATTAGTCCCACAGAGCCCTGCAGTCTACCCTAGGAGGCCTTGGACAACAGATTGGACCAAAACTGGAGTGAAAACTATTCTCTGCCATGATACTATCCTCATTGAGGTATAAGAAGTTTGGAACACTCACAAAACCAGTTCCTCATCATCCTGACAGTCCAATTTGGTTCTTAACACCAGTCTGAAAGTGAACAAACCCCAAGATGAAAGGTGGCTTAAATAGTCTTCATTATGGTATAGAGTGGAGCAAACTGAGGCAAATAGTTCCCAAACAGAGTGACTTAGACCTTGAAAAACCTATCCTGAGCATGATATGAGACAATGCCACCAAATAAGTTGTGAGCCACCAGCAGAACCGAGACTGGATTCCATTGGTCAAAGCTGCTTTGGTCCTGGCAGGACCAAAGAGAATGACAACACCCAAGTGCTCAGGCTATTCATGCATTTCTGAGGGGATAAGAGAGCACAAAGATCTACCTACCCTGATCACACTGAGGTGGCTGGTGCCAAGAATGGGGATCTACCACTTGGGTGAGGTAAGAAACTCACAGTGACATTAAGTCAGAAAGTAGCATAGCTCCTTAAAAGCTCCCTACGAACCTGGTACTCATAGGCAATCTGCACACTAGAGTTGTTTAGATGTATGGCATTCAACTCCAGTTGATGACTCCCTCACAGAGCCTATTCAGTATGATGTATTAACTAAGAAGACAGCTCATTCACTGCTCTCCTCATCTCATTTGAAGGCCTTTCTCCAGTAGGAACTTTCTGGTGACGAATGAGGTTAGACCTTCAGCTGAAAGCTTTCTTACATTCACTGCACTCATAGAGTCCATCTTGGCTGTTAAGTTTCTGGTGCTCAGTCAGAGCAGACTTTGACAGAAAAATTTTCCACATTTCCTGTACTGGCGATGCCTTTCTGTAGCATGAACTTTTTGGTGTTGAGTAAGCTGGGAGTTTTGGATGAAGAAATCCCCACGTTTAGTGCACTCGTGGTTTTTCTCCAATGTGAACTCTGGTGCTTAATAAGAGTAGAGTTTTGGCTAAAACGTTTCCCACATTCACTGCACTTATAAGCCTTTGCTCCAGTGTGAACTCTCTGGTGCAAAATGAGAATAGAGTTTTGGCTAAAATGTTTCCCACATTCACTACACTCATAAGTGTTTGCTATAGTGTGAATTCTCTGGTGGACTTTAAGGTGGGAGCTTTGCCTAAAGAACTTTCCACATTCACTACACTCATAAGGCCTTTCCCCAGTGTGAATTCTTCTATGTTTAATGAGGCTGGAGATGTACCTAAAGACTTTCCCACATTCACTGCACTCATAAGGCCTCTCTCCAGTGTGGATTCTCCGGTGCTGAACAAGCATGCATTTACAGCTGAAGGCTCTCTTGCATTCTCCACATTCATAAGGCCTTTCTCCTGTGTGGACTCTCTGGTGCTGAACAAGTTTGCTTTTAGTGGTGAAGGTTTTCCCACATTCACTGCACTCATAAGGCTTGGCTCCAGTGTGAATTCTCTGGTGCACAATAAATTGAGAGCTTTGGCTAAAGAACTTCCCACATTCTCTACACTCATAAGGCCTTTCCCCCGTGTGAATTCTTCTATGAGTAATGAGGCTGGAGTTGCATCTAAAGACTTTACCACATTCACTGCACTTATAAGGCCTTTCTCTTGTGTGGATTCTCTGGTGCTTAAATAGTATGGGTTTACAGGTGAAGGTTTTCCCACATTTGCAGCACTCATAAGGCCTCTCTCCAGTGTGGACTCTCTGGTGCTGAGCAAGTCTGTATTAGCGACAGAAGGCTTTCTCACATTCACTGCATTTGTAAGGCCTTTCTCCAGTGTGAATTTGCTGGTGCCGAACAAGTGTGCGTTTGTCGCTAAAAGCTTTCCCACATTCGCTGCACCCATAAGGCTTTTCTCTAGTGTGGACACTCCAGTGCTGAACAAGTATGTATTTACAGCCAAAGACTTTCCCACATTCATCACATTCATAAGGTCTCTCTCCAGTGTGGACTCTCTGGTGCTGAGCAAGCCTAGACTTCTGGCAGAAGGCTTTCCCACATTCGTGGCATTTATACTGCCTTTGTCCATTGTGAGAGGCCTCTACACACTTGGTGTCCTTTGGTGGAGTGACCTGGCGCTGGAGAAGGCCAGAGGTACCAGGGAAATCTTTCCCAGGCTCCTGGCATGTGAAAGACTTCTTGTATGCATGGACTGTGTGGCTCTTCATAAAGGTCTTACCCACATGTCTTCTAAAGAGTTCCTCTCCACTGTGCTGGTGAAAGTTCACACCTGCCCCACACAGTTTCTGATCATGGTTTGTGCCAAGGTCCTCAGCTAGATGCAAACCACCTTCTAAGTACAGGCAGAACCTCTGCCAGGGATAGGACTTCAGGGTGGACAGGTCTGTCTTTGAAGTATTTATTTGTGGCACTTCTACAGAAACTTTCTGCTCAGAAGGTGTCTCCTCATCCTCTGCTCTATGCCAACACCCTGAAAGCAGAGAAATGTGGGTGAACTTCATGTAGATTTTGGTAGAAGGATGCAGCTCCATTACAAATATGTGGCTGACATAGAAATGAATAAATCCATGGGACTATTTTCAGGACAAGAGAGCTGGGGCAGGTTATGAAAGGACTGCTGTGCAGTACTGGGCCTCTACATGTCACAGAACATGGATGACACACCAGGTGAAAGACACAGGATGGAGTGGAACACACAGAGGAGCTGGGGTCCACAACTCACTCGTCTGGGAGTGGTTTTCACCAGGGCCTTGGCTGCTGGTGCCACATGTGCTGTGTGGAAAGGTTTGTCCAGGCTCAGGAAAATCTGACTGTCACTGAGTAGGTAGTGTTCAAGGACTATTTTAAGGATACAGGGGGAACTCATGACACGTTAATGTAGGCCAATATTGGAGAGCACATCAGAGTGATGATGGAGAAGACCAATAAAGAGTGGAAGACAGAGAGGTGAGGGATAATCCTGGGTTCAGATTCAGAGTTGAAATGACAGAAGGAGCAAAGTATCAAGAATGGGTAGGAAAGGTAGAAATGAGGTACACAGTCACTGGCCTTGGCCCTAAAACATTGTGGGGCACAGGACGTGTTCCTGATATGATCTGAACCCAGCCATGATATCACTTCCTCCTCCTGATGCCAATCACCAATGTGGGTCCCTCTTTGGGTCTCTCTAGCTGTGCCTGGAGTAATGTCCACTCTGTCATGTACCCAGGGTTCATCTCCCAGCTCCAACTGGAAAACAACATGGGACCTAGAAAGTGCAAGTCGTAAGTGAAAGACACGACAGGTCAGTACTGGCCCAGGGGGACAACCAATCCCAAAACAACCTCAGGAGAGAAAAATAATATCACAAAAAAAATCTTTGAGGAAGGTCTCACAGCAACAACCAAGTGGACCCCACAAACAGTTACCACATTGAGTCCCAACAATTCCTGAAATAGTGAGGCCCCAGGAAATGTTAGCTAGAGGGCACAGCCTGGAGCACGGTGGTGTATGGGTCTACAGAGTCAACTTAACAGGGAGTGGCTGAGACTAATGGAACCCACTGAACTAATTCCAAATCATTTGACCCAGAAAACCTTCGCTGAAAAAACTTCAGAGCATCTGGTATTGGGGATACTTCTGAAAGGAGATTGTATATACGCTCACTCAGCCTTGGCACCCACAGCACAGCTGACAAGGAAGCAGTAATAGAGATGTGGTCACTGTCTAGCTGTGAAAAGAACAGAGTTGTCCTTGGAAAAAAGGGGAAAGGCAGAGACCTGCCCAGAATGCTGGGATAGGTGTGAGGGCCTTACCCAATGACGCAACAAGTGCTAAGGTCTCCAGGATCACATCACGGTACAGGAGTCTCTGGGCCTCATCAAGAAGCCTCCATTCCTCCTGGGAAAAGTACACAGCCACGTCCTCAAAGGTCACAGAGCCCTGTGATGACAGGGACAGATGTGTACATAAGCAGCCTCTCTCCCCAGGACCCCATAAGTACCCCTAACCCATACTCACTCTGGGTTCATCATCCTCCACAGCTCCCTAACTTAGAGGGCACTGGTACCTAATAACTCTTCATACTTCCTTAAGCACTAGGTACAACTCTCAGCAACAACAGGCAGGTGGACAGATAGATGCCATCTAAGCTGTTGGCCTGGTATTCAGGGCTCCCTCCCTCTCCAGCAAGACAACAGCCTGAGAGGCCCCAGGATCATGTCTCCTAGACACAAACAAACTTGGGCTCATCGTCCTCTCTTAAACTCCTGGTATGAGGGCTCTGGGGCAATTTGGTCACACACCTTCCCCACATGCATATTACTCACTGGCTAACTCCTCATACATCTGATCCCCATCACCACCACCTGGCCCACAAAATTGACATGTCTCCTGCCTCCTCACATACCCTTATGCACACAGCATCAGAAAGTTCTTGCCAAGGCAACAGGATCCCGCCATACCCCAACTCTCCACTGGCGGTTCCCCAGCCCTGTTCTGAAGGCTTCCCCACCAGGCCTTGTTCCTAACTTTAACCTCAGTCAAAACATGCACATCTAAATACGCCTGGTCAGGTTCCACTTTTATATTGCAAGTTATGTCTCTTCAACAGTTACAATCTTTGCCCATATAACACCCATTCAAAATCCACACCCACTTGACACACCTTAGGTAAAACTCATCTGACATTGTGAAACTCCCCAAGTTCCACCACAAAAGGCTGGTCAGTGCATAGGAGGAGAAATAAGCATCAGCCTGACTTTGCTATCACTTCACCTCCATTACTGCTTTCCCTCTGCATTAATTTCATGGCCACTCCCCCATAAAAACCTGGGCCACCCGCTGGACTTTCCCTACCCCCTATCTTCCCGTTGATGTTCACTGCTCTTGTAGTTCTTTCTGACAGCCCAAGTCTCTTCCTTTGTCCCATAAGGGCATCCTGAAGCCTCCTCCAGCACTCTAGCGCTGCATGTTCAGCCAGTTGTCTCCTATACCTGGGAGTCAATGGAACTTTTGAGACTCAACACAGCCAAAAGCCAATTCCTAATATTCTCACTGAAAATGACTCCTACCACTGACTTCCCCATCCCAGTTCATGGCACATACCCCCTTCCAGATGCAAAGGGAAAAAAACTTTTGTAGTCATCTGTGAGCCCTCCACATTAGAAAATCTGGTCCACCTCTACTTAAGAAACAAATCCAGAAGCCAAGTATTTCTTACCTCCACATCTGTCACTCTCGTCCAGGCACAACAAATGTGCTTCTAGATGATTACAAGAGCCTCCTTGATTATCTCCTTGTCTTCCTTCCCCCGAATCTGCTGTGCACACTGCAGCTAGAGGTAACCTCTTAAAACCTAAGTCACATCACTTTTCCCCCCTGTTCCAAAAATTCCATATCTGCCATCATTCTCAGAACAAAAACCCAACTTCTCAGGCTACCATCCTAGGCCTGACTCTGGCCCCCTTGTTCTCTGTTCTCACCAGACATTAACAGAAACCTACAAGTCCTAAAACACTTCCATCTCAATCTCATCCTCAAACATTTATACGTACTATCCCCGTACCTAAGACAACCTTTCACATCCTAGTCCACTGGCTACTAAAAATGGGAATCTGTCCATATAACTTCTGGCCTGGACTTGGAAACCTGGGCTGAGGGTTTCTCTAGGGTCTACAGCCACCAAGTCCAGGAAGAGTGACAGCAAAATACTTTCAGGACACCTACACTCACTGGTGCAGGGTTCATAAGTGGTTCTGTTGAACGTGGAATCTGTGGGAAGACCAGGGCCATGTAATATTAATTCTCATCAGCAACATAGACAAAAAAGAAGATTAGTGAGTGAACATTTAATATTTCAGGCAAAGGCAAATACTTAAGGGAAAAACAAAGCATGTAAAAGAAGGCAGAAAGTATTTTGGAGTTGTGCCATAAAGTCATGAGTATACCTTGAGAAAAGGCTTTCCAGAAGTGGAAAACACAAGTGCAAAGACTCTTTGTCAGAGTCACCTCTGGCATGTTTGACTACCATCTATGAGGACAGTGTGACTGGAGTCCAATGAGAAAAAAGAATACAGGATCATGTTGGCAAAGAAATGGTTGTGCCAGGATATATAACACTATTATAGCCCTAAGCCACAAATATCAAAATTAAGACTCATTTCATGTACAGCTGTTTCTGACACTTGCATTTGATTCCCTTATTCTGTCTTTCCCTTGCCAATAACACATTTTTCTCTTCTTGTGGCTTGTAGTTGGCCATAACAGCTGACCAGGAGTTTTTATACTTCCTTTTCAAATTTTACTTTGCTTATGTTAAAAACTGTTTTATATAAAATTCCAACTTACATAATCCATAGATTAAGTTCTGATTTGAAATTACTATAACATTACATAATAGGATTCAAGAACATGTACTTTTTTCATTTATTCCTATTCTTTGATATATCCATTTTTTTTTTCCCACAAATGTTCAGAGATTATTTGTAATTTCCTAAATGCTTTTTTCACCTGTGATAGAGAATGGAACTACCGCTTACTGGCTTCACATCCAAAGTGAATCTGTGATAAAGGGGTTGTTGCTAGAATCAGAGTAAAAGTGCTTGCCCTTCAGCAGTTTGGGATAACTGGTTGTCATTTCTGATACTTTAAACTTAAGAGAGGGGAATTCCCTGGCAAACCAGTG